ACATGTGGGGGGTACCCCTCGGTCTCATTTCTTGCTGGGTATAGTTCGCTTTGCGAAAGCTTGCCCCGAATCACGAGGCATAGCAACAGTGTCTTTAGTCTGTGGAATTCAAATTGTTATGTTTATGTGCAGTCAGATAACTCAGAGCGCCAGATTTTATTCAAATTTATCTCGCAAATGGCTTATTGGTCGCAAGATGTCACGATGGAATTTGAAAGGATTGTCCGAAGAAGCCTGAGCATCGCAAACTTTGATTTGATCGCACGTTGGTTGCTCTGTACGTGTTCACTGAAAAGCTAGAGGATCCAGTATTCTCAGGGTAAAATTGTGGACTAATTTCCTCGTTGGATGTCTGTACAGAACAGAGCGGCTATTCAGAAAGTCCCTGATCGACAGTCTGCAAGCTGTATTCCCCAAGTTTGCTTGCCTAAAATAATGATATAATATTTGAGTCGACCCAGACATGCGGCGCGCTGTGAGAAAAAAGACGAGTGCTGTTTGTCACTGTTCCCACATTCATTTCTACAACTTCGTCTTTGCCGGACCTGTTTCCACAGTCTGCCTCCTAGTATGCAGAGCGTCCAAGAAGAGTAGAATCAAACAAGAAAACGACAGAGAAACACCCCTTTCATCTGAGCTTCTCTTGCAGAGAATCACCCAAGATGCACAGTACCAAAATAATCATCGAGGGAGCCTGTTCCAATCACTTAGACGTGTTTCCTCGACTTTCCCGTCATGGCAATCCTATACATGTACCGTAGTACATGATTCCTAGCAGATTCCTGCGAGACAATGACCAACACAAAGCAGGGGGGTTCTCTCCGTCTCATACCTTGCTGCATATGCCACTCTTGGCTGCACTTTCTGTGAGTTTTAATAGACATTCAAAGTCAAGTAGACAAAAGATATATATATATAAAACCATAAGTTGCCACTTTATCCTATACTTGATAATAAAGCGCAAAAATCGACGGTACCTTTGGATGTGACATAAAAGAATATGAGCAAGTGCGGAAAAGTTTCCTCGCCCTTGAAAACTGTCATGACCAACTAATGCAAAAGCCAGTATTCTGGCCAAAATGGCATTATAATCATCATTCTCAGTAAGTTTTTCTGATAGAGTGTTTGTTTCACACGTCTCTGGATCATTCTCCGTCGTTGGTTGAGCCAAAACTCGCCTATAACGGATGGTGCGAACCCGGCAGCAGTAGGTTCATCGATCGAGATCCAGATCCGTGTGCTACAATCTGGCCCTTTTGTCTACCTGTACGCTCCTCGCTTCAATTTCCGTTTTCTTTTAGTAAGCGGGGTTGGTCGAGCTTGTGTCAACAGCTGTCCGGGTACAACGGGCGGTAGAAGCCGCTCACGTTTCTTTCAATTTTTAACTAGAGTTTAATGGGTTATTATTGAGCATGTCATTTGACCTGTCAGTCACTGAGCCTGCTTAGGCCTATGCTTTACCTGATTCATGTTTCACACATCTTTGGTCCAGTCGTGAGTACCTGAACAATTCCTGCTGTTTCCTGTAAAATCCACATTCCACGTTCGCACATGTGTAAAAAAGTGTATTTATTGCACATACATATGTAATATTATTCATCCTGAATCCGCCCGAGTGAAATGAAAAAAAAGTTGTCAGGCCATGTTTCTCGCGAAAACAACTTACACAAATCATTACACAACAGTTTATTCAACATTCTTTTGGAAAAACAATAACTGAACCATTGTACGATTGACGGAGATGTGGGGTAAATCTGACTTTTCTAACTAAACGAATGCATGTACATGTAAATACATGTAGTAAGTGTGGCCAAGCTCTACCTTGCTTCATGTACAGCTGTTCTGTGGTGAAATGGATAGCTGCATTCAGCGCCAATAGGATCTGCAAGTGGAGACATTAATTCCCGAGGATACACGGAGAATTGCTGTACTCTTTTAATTCCACCGACATAACTGAGAGCCATAAAAGGACTAACGTGTTGGCCAGTGACTCAGTATCCCCATAGAGCTATATTAAATCGCCATCGCGTTAACTTCTCACCGTCGGTCCACGTTGAAATAAATTGAGTTATCCATGCAGGAAAACTGCATAGAGCTATATATAAAAACCTGAGCGCTGGCTCCTGTTGGGCGCATCCATGTTGTGCACAAACCTATGGAAAACTCGGAAATTCTGTACGGCTTTTGTACGGCAATTTGCATTTCTGCGTCAATATTCTAAAACTATGCGCCGACAAGGCCAATATTCAAAAAATCTAAACGCACCATCAGTAAATGAGTGTTTCATGATGCTCCGTGCAAACAGCGCAAATGCGTGCGCGTGTGCGCTGAAGATAAATCTGACCGTGAAAGTTTCTGTTTTGTAAATCGGATTTTATCAGTACCCGATGCGTGCGTTGCATTTAGAGTACATAATTATTTCGATATTTATTCTATTTGATTTTGAATGTTTTATAAGCAGGTACACGGATTCAAATGTCTGCGTCCAAGAGGGCGTCAAATTTTCTCCTCGCAGAGAATGAGAACTCAGTCCTTTTGTTATTTAACATAGCTCTATGATTTATGTACAAACATGGATACGCCCAGCAGGTATCATTTCGTACATGAATCATTGGTCTAATTTTTATATAGATCTATGCGTATCCCACACTAACCATGAGTGTAAGTGTTCCCATTTAATACCACGATCCTATCTTCACAGGCCTTGTACTAGGCCTACACATACAACATGGCCGAAGTGAATTGGGAACCTGTGTCTCCCACTTAGTTGTCTGCTCATGATAAGCTAATCGCCGTCACCCCTGACGCGCATCGAAATATACGACAAAACAAACACTGGCAAACGGCAGTAAAAATTGCGGGCTTATCGTTTCTAGTTAGTCCTTGTTTATTTAGACGTAAATGACTCCACAAGCAAAAGAAATCTTTATTGTGTGATCATTATGGATAAAGAATGCTTCCTTCGATGTGTCTAGGCCTATGGCTATCGCAAAATCTACGCATGAGATTAATTATGAAAGGGCTGCGTAGCATGCACAGTGATCAAAATACTGACTAGAAAAAATACAGTTTGTGTTCTTAATTTAAATTGCCAAGCTTTCGATAACTGTGTATCTTCGTCAGGGCGAACAGATTCAGTTCACACTTGCCCTGACGAAGGTACACAGTTACCGAAAGCTGGGCAATTGACATTAAGAGCACTAACCCTATTTATTTTTTCAGTATTCTGCGCATGAGAGTTTATGGTATCCAACGATTGCACCTTCGTGCGTATCAACATGCGCTCAGAACTTATAATACGCAAAAACGGATTTTTAACTAAAAGGTTACTGACTAGAAAAAAATACAGTTTGTGTTCTTAATTTCGATTGCCGAGCTTTCGATAACTATGTACCTTCGTCAGGGCGAACAGATTCAGTTCACACTTGCCCTGACGAAGGTACACAGTTACCGAAAGCTGGGCAATTGACATAAAGAGCACTAACCCTATTTATTTTTTCAGTATTCTGCGCATGAGAGTGTATGGTATCCAAGGATTGCGCCTTCGTGCGTATCAACACGCGCTCAGAACTTATAATACGCAAAAACTGATTCTTAACTAAAAATAACACTCGCGTACACGGCCAATGATTTAAAGTTCCCTGCCAATCTTTCCAAATCAGTTTGGGATTTGATAAAGACAACTGTTAACGATTTGGCTGCCTACGTGTGCGATCGATTATCAACCATCTTTAATTTCTCTCGGTTTACATAAACACAAGGGAGAGCCGTCGCATTTCTAGTTACGGTAGGTGAAATTGATATAATACGTGATTTAGCAATGAGGCATCTACAATATTTAAGAGTCTGTTCACGTAAAAACCACACGTGTCCACGCTCAAAAACATTTTTTTTCATACTTTGTAGAATTTAATGACTCGGGGTGCAGGTAAACAAAATTGACTTTTTAAATCCATTCGTAGCCCTTCTTCATGAAAACAGCTCATTTTGTGTTTTTTGCATTTTCGGCCGACTGAAAACTGGTTTAAAAGTCCACCTGAACAAAATGCAAAATTCACAGATTTACTTATATCACTTTAAAGTATCATCCTTGCCTCTGCTTGAGACAAAAACAATTGAGTAAAATGAGTAATGAAAACCTAATAAAACCTCGTATCCCACCGAGCCCTAGCCCATGATTTGCCCTACTAAGTAGGGTTGTTGTTACCATATGACATTTGTACTGGTACATGTATGACTCCCATTGCAAGTAGACACCTATAGTGCAAGAGCACTTTTTACAAGTTGCCCTATACCCAGCAAGAA